AGATCTAGTTGTATAGAAATTCAAATAAATGATCCTCTTTCGCTCAAGACTTCATAATTCCTTCTCTCCCTCTCCTTTATGATCAACTAATTTACAAATTAAGACAATAAGAAGTTGTATGAACGAAAATGGGATAATCAAGCGGATGAGTGAATGCAAAGGAGGTTTCATGTTGGATTTAAGATTGGGAACGCTTATCTGTTATCGACTGTTTCCATGGTAATGGATGAAAATTTCTTTACCCACAGAGCCGGCCTCTCGATTGGTTCATGCGCGCCACCGCTATTAAATTCTGATTGAACAGTTCCCATATGCTTGAGCAATCTCCCCTATTATCTCTGATCCGGGCGTCTACTCAAACGTCATTTTCCCGAGACAGTAATTTTGTTTACATTTTATCAATTACTTCCGTATTTTGGCATTTTTTTTCATCTTACTGCATAAAGGACTGTTGAATATTACGAACATGGTGAATTTCGTGTTTATACCTCTCGTCGCAATGTCTCCGACGGCCAAGAATATTTTTTCTGTACTGTTAAATCCTCCTAAAGTGCTGCAGACCTGCGATAAATGTTTTAGGTTAGTTTTATCATGTTCAAGGGCAATTGGTTTCGTTGCTTATTTATTGTCAACTAAGTGGTTTTCTTGACGCGTTTTTTTTCAACTTATCCGGATGTGTTTTTTTGAAACAACTTCTTTTGTTTTAAATTTTAACGTATTTCTGGGGGACAGAAATGTCTGTAAGACAGATACACGTTTCACCACCCCCCTGTGCCTGTTATGGTTAATTTTTTTTTATTGATTGTCGATAACCAAAAAACTACAGCGAAATTTACACCAGAAGAAAGTTGTTTCAAAGAAACATACCCGGATAAATTGAAAAAAAAACACGCCATAAAAACCGCTATAATGGAAAATGAAACTTTTCATTTTTATTTTAAAAATGCAACGCATATGGGGTATTACAGGCTATTTCGAACGCGTGAATTTTTTTTTCATTTTTCAATGAAAATAGGACATATTGAAAGAGGGGCCCACAGATATTATTCACCGTCGAAAAAATTTCGAAATTATTTTTATTGTGTAAGTTAGAACAATTGAAAAATTGGGTGCAGCAACAAAGAGATTTGACTTTTACAATTTATAAGTCCATAACTATGCATCTCATCATAAAAGTGCAAGAATGCTTTTTTGTCGAGAAAACATGAAAAATGGAGAAAAAAATTTTATGATTGAAAAAAAAGACGTAAGGAAAAATTGTCAAACGGAAAAATTGTCAAATGAGAATGCGAAGGGGGCGCCATCCGGTAGTGACGCCACGGAGTATGGTTTTTGGGGTAAAGCAGAGTTTTCAAGTTAGATTTGTATAGATAAATTCAAAATAATATTTAGTTTAAGATACTCAATTAGAGAGATATCTCAAGCACATTGAATTATACGATATCATAAATGGGTTATTCGTGTTCTCCTACGATTTCATGGGACTAAAATGGGTATATACTAACCACATACGATTTCATTAGGGCAAAATGCGTATTCTGTAGTCTTTTACAATTTCATTGGGGCAAAATGGGTATTCTGTGAACTTTTACGGTTTCATTGGGGTCAAATGGGTATTTACTGACCTCATACGATTTTATGGGGGCAAAGTAGGTTTTTCGTGAACTCATACGATTTCTTAGGGGCAAAATGGGTATTTTCTGACCTCATACGATTTCATGGGGGTAAAATGGGTATTTACTGACCACATACGATTTCATTGGGGCAAAATGGGTATTCTGTGAACTTTTACAATTTCATTGGGGCAAAATGATTATTCTGTGAACTTTTACGATTGCAGTGGGGTCAAATGGGTATTTACTGACCTCATACGATTTCATGGGGGCAAAATAGGTTTCTCGTGAACTCATACGATTTCTTAGGGGCTAAATGGGTACTTTCTGACCTCATTCGATTTGTCAGGGGTAAAATGGGTATTTACTGACCACATACGATTTCATGGGGGCAAAATGGGTTTTTCTCGTACTCACACGCTTAAATTGGGGCAAAATGGTTTTTTCGTGAACCCATACGGTTTCTCACGTAGGAAAAAATCGTATAGAATCTTTCTATACGGACTGTGTATAGCATTTCTATAGGTTTTTCGTATATGATATTCGGATATTTCTATACGAAAATTTCCTATACGTTTCATTTCTATACGAATTTCTACACGAATTCGTATAGAAATAATCCGTATAGGGAATTTTTGTATAGAAATATACGAATATCATATACGAAAAACCTATAGAAATTCTATACGCAAATCGTATAGAAACTTTCTATATGATTTTTTCATACGTGCTTAGGGGCTAAATGGGTATTTTCTGACCTCATACGATTTCATGGGGGCAAAATGGGTTTTTCGGGAACTCATACGATTTCATGGGGGTAAAATGGGTATTTTCTGACCTCATACGATTTCATGGGGGCAAAATGGGTTTTTCGGGAACTCATACGATTTCATGGGGGTAAAATGGGTATTTTCTGACCTCATACGATTTCATGGGGGCAAAATGGGTTTTTCGGGAACTCATACGATTTCATGGGGGTAAAATGGGTATTTTCTGACCTCATACGATTTCATGGGGGCAAAATGGGTTTTTCGGGAACTCATACGATTTCATGGGGGTAAAATGGGTATTTTCTGACCTCATACGATTTCATGGGGGCAAAATGGGTTTTTCGGGAACTCATACGATTTCATGGGGGGAAAATGGATTGCGTCTAGAATTTATATAGGATTTTCGCATATGATATTCGGATATTTTGATACGGATATTTTGAATACACATTATTTCTATACGATTTCTATAGGTTTGATCCTATACGACACAATGCCTCATGTATATTAACATTTCATATGGAGATGCATCATTTTTCTACGTTTTTCTCTAGAGCGTTTACATATCTCATACCAAAACAAAAAATTACGTCAAAATTTATGTATAGAAATAAATCGTATAGAAAATATTCCTATACAAATATCCGATCATGTACGTAAATTCTATAGGATTTTATACACAATCCGTAAAGAAAATTTTTTTAAGATTAATAAGTTACTTTTTCAAAAAATTTTCAAAATGTTCAGAAGTTCTCCGTAAAAAGTTTCGAAGAAATTGTATCCGAAAGATAGGTTGGGATGTCTGAAAATCATCTGAAAAGTTGAAATTTGCAATTCCCTCAGGAAATATTATACAACCTTTTGCCTGTAATTTGTGAAACATTTACAAAATATGTGCAAATGGTTCCAATAAAGGTACCTCTAAGTTATGCTGAAATAGCTCAGAATAAATTGAAACGTAAATATTTGCTATTCCCTCCGGTATTTTTTATACGAGGTATTAGTTCCTATTTGTAGCAAATAGAAAGAAATGATTCCCCGGAAAAGCGTGGAAATATGGAGGAACATCTCCGTAGAACCGCCAAAATAACGACACCATTCCCTGGCGGTCCTGTAATGCCGTACGTTTTCCTATTAAAATTATTCATATAATAATAATAATAGAATATAATAATTTCGATAATAATTGTCGACTTGGAAAAGAATGAATAATTAATACACAGAAGCATTGTGACCTAGACGAAAATTACGAAAAAGATTCATAATGATATTAAAAGAAAAATATTAAAGATTTACCTGTCTGGTAGGATATGTCCCCTAAATCCGTTATTTCTTCAATGAATCACAGTTGTAACGGATCAGTATACAGTACAGGGATGAAGTTATCACATTCCTACACGGTGTAGTTTTGAAGATAGCCGTGGTCCAAATCGTGATGATATGTATGTGATATCTAATTTATGTATGTAGTGATGAGTTTTATTAAGTTTTATTAATTTTATTAAGTTCACAGAATACCCATCTTGTCGCTATGGAATCGTAGAAGTACACGAAACATCCATTCTACTCCTGTGAAATCGTATGACTTCACGAAAAATCCATTTTACCCCCATGAAATCGTGGGGGCACACAAAACACCCATTTTGCCCCCATTAAATCGTAGGAGTACAGGAAAGACCCATTTTACCCCTACGAAATCGAATGAGGTTAGCAAATACACATTTTGTTCCAATGAAATCATGAGTTCACGAAGAACACATTTTGTCCCAATGAAATCGTAAAAGTTCAAAGAATACCGATTTAGCCGCAATGAAATCGTAAAAATTCACAAAATACCCATTTTGCCCCAATGAAATCGTAAAAGTTCACAGAATACTCATTTTGCCCCAATGAAATCGGATGAGTTCACAAAAAACCCATTTTGCCCCCACGAAATCGTATGAGGTCAGAAAATACCCACTTAGTCCCTAAGAAATTGTATGAGTTCACGAACAACTCATTTTGCCCCAATTATATCGTATGGGGTCAGTAAATACCCATTTTACCCCAATGAAATCGTATGAGGTCAGAAAATACCCACTTAGTCCCTAAGAAATTGTATGAGTTCACGAACAACTCATTTTGCCCCAATTATATCGTATGGGGTCAGTAAATACCCATTTTACCCCAATGAAATCGTATGAGGTCAGAAAATACCCATTTAGCCCCTAAGAAATCGTATGAGTTCACGAAAAACCCATTTTGCCCTCATGAAATCGTATGAGATCAGTAAATACCCATTTTACCCCCATGGAATCGTAGGAGAACACGAAAAACCCATTTTGCCCCCATGAAATCGTAGGAGTTCAGAAAAGACCCATTTTACCCCGAAGAAATCGAATGAGGTCAGAAAATATCTATTTTGCCCCTATGATATCGTATATTTCAATGTGCTTGAGATATCTCCCTAATTGATTATTTTAAAATAAATATTATTTTGAATTTATCTATACAATTCTAATTTGAAAACTCTTCTTTACCCCAAAAACCATACTCCGTGGCGTCACTACCGGATGGCGCCCCTTTCGCATTCTCATTTGACAATTTTTCCGTTCGACAATTTTTCCTTACGTCAAAAAAAAAAGATCGTTATTCTTCAAAATCTAAAAAAAGAGAGCACGGTCATGGCGGCCACCGCAAGTGTCATGGTGCACTGCTCATGGGCACATTGATGAGAATTTTTGGCGAGTTCTCATGTGAATTTTCATGAGGATGAGCAATGCGACTGCCACGGCGCTATTCAAGAAAGTGCGCGAGAATTACAAATTTGATTTCTTACCTCGAAAAGAAGAAACAAGCATCGTATATATACATACATTGAATACATCAGTGTATATTTTCTACACAAGAATTTGTTTACAATTACTGGAATGAAAAATTCTTTTTTTGGTGACAAGTGTGAAGAGCTAATAAGATTGACTGATTGATAATTAGATAAACTTAAATGTCGATAATGGAATGAAAAAAATTGGAAATCTAAAAATATTCGATTTAAATTTTTTTATTCGTTTTTTGTTTTTCGAGGTTTTGTTTAAAGAAGTCAATACTTTATACCACAAAATCAAAGAATATTGAATTTTCTCCATGAAAAAAAAAGTCTGACTACTGTTTATGTGAAGATTTTCAATCATTATTAAATTGGCTAGAAGATCGAAAA